TATATATATATATATATATATATATATATATATATATATATATATACGTGTGTGTGTGTGTGTGTGTTTAGCATCACTCATTTATTTTGAAGATCATAAACTTACTTTTACAAGAAAGTTTTCTAAGTACAAAAAATTGGAGAGCAATACATTTGAGTACACTTGGTGGTATTTACAGGGAACATACCTTGCACATACTGGGCAGGTACTCTGATGTATTATGTAAGTCCACTAAGAAAAGTTTAAAATGAATGATAATTTCAAGATTTGATGTACCACAAATGAACAACCGTTTCAATTTTTTCCAGTTATTTTTTAAGAAATCTTTATTTGTATGTTTTTTACATTGTTGAACTCTTTACCAGCATTGAATAGAAATACGTTAAAACAATGTTGCCTTTCTGGGATGTTCTTTTACATAAAAATGTACTAAATCCCGTTTACTCTAATTGTTTGTGAGATATTCCATACTGTGTTATTAATAATATACAACTTTTTTCACCATCATATCTTTAAACAAACTTTTCCTGATGTTACTTGTGCAAATCCTTTTGTAAAGCTGACTTTTCAATTTGTAAACATAAACATACAAAAAAAAAAAACAAATAATAATAATAAAAAAATCAATCAACCTGGAGTCTTTGTGGTCCTTTCATTTGTAGATATCTCTGTGATTTTATTGTTTTCTACGTGCATTCTGCTGTTTTTTTAACATCATAAACAATAATCAACTTTTGAAAGACATGTTTTTTGTATATTAATACACATTAAGGACAATAATATATGAATCAGGATGTACAGGTTTTTGTAATCTGTACGACAAAGGCAGGATTTTGGTCAGTAGGTTTGTTCTAACACAATTATTGTTGATCAGACGTTAATAAATTGTAAGTGATGTTAAGTATTTCCCTCTATTTTTAGTATTTGCTTCTGTTTTTCCTTCCCTCGCTTTCATCATTCTGGTCAGGCAGGCCAGCTTGCTGGGCAGCACCGACCGTGGGCCAGGCCAGCCAGATGGAAGTGAGATTATCCTCCATTAGATGACATAATGCTGTGGTGGCTGTTATTTCCCAGACACAAACAGAACTGCCAGCTGGTCCTAAAACTGTGAGTAGGTGCTGCTGATTTGTCCGACAGACTAAAACTAAAATAATGACAGAAAAACTGTAACAGCATGATTAATTGTATCGAGTGGCTATTCCAGTGAAAATCATTTTATCTGTTAAAATTAGCATTTTAATTCAGCTTCTTTACCGCAGTTGGTCACATCATCTAACTGACATCCCTTGTTGGGGTCTTGTGCCAGTGTTTCAAACATATTATTTATATTATAGGTTAATGTGGACTTTATTTGTTTAGTTGAACTAAACAAATCTCTAATTAAAAAAAAAAAAATATATATATATATATAAATGAAAACATTTATTTCACTGATATGCTGTGTATAACAAATGCTTAAATCACTAACACACCTAAAGAAACAAGCAGCCCCTAAAAGAGTGAGCTTATAAAGGTAAATAGGTTCAAATAAACATTTTAATGCATGCTGATTTGATCCTCGGGGAGTTGTAAATTTTCTGATGGTGACTAAATGTAATAAAAAGTTAAGGCACAGCTATTAAGAGAAAAATACTAGGAATCAGCCAGTAAAACAAGTTTTCACAGCCAGCTCAACACTGCACCCTAGTGGCCACTATGAGTAAATGCTATGTGTAATAAAATCTTTTTTTTTTCTGCAAATAAATCAGTTTTTCCTGCTCCTAATCTACAGCAAAGTGGTTTATAGATGTGAAAACATTTTTGACAAATAGGAAGGATGTCTGAGTTGTTTGGAAGCTTCTAGAATTGGATTAAATTTAGGATTTTTTTAATGTTTAGATTGCGCTCTCTAGTTTAATTTCAAACAAAACTAGTTTAGATTTTAAAGAGGTAGAGCACTTTATTTATTTATGGCCCATATTTAAACTTCAGTCACATACATTTCTCATAAATCGGCATTATTACTTCAGTTTTTGGCTTTTGACTTCCACTTTTACACATTCTAACAGTTAACAAGAAGCACTTTGGAAACAGGAAGTGAGACAGTTTCTTCTTTCTATAAGCAACCACAGGGATACACAAAATAAATGATTGTTGTGTGTTAGGGTGGCAGAGTCTTAGCACAACCAGGGGAAAATGAGGACAATTTATTATTTGTAATAGGCTGTAAGAAAAAAAAACCCCACTACATTTATGTTTACCCACTGGAAGTGAATCACATTTGTTTTGTTTCATAAAACAAATTAAAATGGCTATGAAGCTGCAACAGTGGACCGTATGTCTAGGGTTGAAAGGACACTAAAATAAATGAAAAATAGATTATGCATGCACAAAATGCATTTATAAACTTTTGACCACACGAGAACCGACTGCTGCTGTTCATCTTGCTTGAAATGCAAAACATCTCCTTGATGTTCAGAAATAAAAAGGCCTCCGTTTTTCATTGTTGAATTATTCATCCCTTTAAAAGCCTCAGCGTGTATTACACACAAGCAGCCATGTCGTGTAGCAGAGCTCTAATGTGGATTGTCTGCTTAACACGTAAGAAGTTTGGATTATTTGACTAAACTGACGGCAGTCTGCAGGTGAAGGCAGCTCCAACTATTCACTCAACAATTAAATCTTTTCAAAATTAAAACACTGCCTTTATTCAGTCAAACATCTAGATTAGGGTTTAGTTCTAATTTGAAATTTCCAGGTATCTGTCTATTTGTATGTCATTTAAAAAAAAAAAAAAAAAATGTATATATATATATATATATATATATACATATATATATATATATATATATATATACAT